GGCTCAGGCAATCCACTCACCTCAGCCTCCCAAAGGCGTGGGATTACTGGCTGAGCCACTGAGCCCGGCTTGATTTTTTAATTTATTGTAGAGATGAGGTCTCGTCAAGTTGCCCAGGTGGGTCTCAAACCTGCGGGCTCAGGCAATCCACTCACCTCAATGGAAGTTCATCTTAAATCTCCAGAAATTCACCCACGCCAGGAATTGAGTGAAAAAGACACGAGAAACTTTCTGACTGCATTCTGAGAACACCCCTCTGCTCCCCTTAGCTGTCACCTTCCCCCATCACCCCCTCCCCAGGCTCCTCCTGCCTCTCACCACCAGGTCCAGGGGAACAGTGTGTGGGTCATCCCGGCAATGTTCTCTACCCTGTGAAGTGAGTCACAAGGACCCAGAGATGCCCCTGGATCCCGGCTCACACCCTCCCCACCCCGGGGCACTCACCACGCCACGGTATGTTGGGGGGATGAGGCCACAGTAGACGGGGACGAAGCAGCTGCAGTAGAGGGCCTGTGAGAGAGAACAGGGCTGAGAGGCTGAGCCTGGGGCTGGGGTCGGGGACGGCTCACCTGTCCCAGCCTGGGCCTCCGAAAACCCAAGTCGAAGGTGCCGCCCTGAGAAGCAGAGCCCCGAGCTATGTTCCTGGCCCTCACTATTGGGGCTCTTGGTAATCTACTTTGTCAGTCTGGGCCTGACATCCCAGCTTTAAAGAAGGAGGGTGGCCTCAGTATCTCCAGGGTCCCTCCAGTGTCCCTCTGACACCAAATTTTCACAAGTCCAGTGGGATTCAACAACCACTGATGTGGGTCTGTCCTGGGCCAGGTCTTGAAATCAAAGGAGAGTGAGAGGCTCACCCTTGGGAATGCTCAAAGAGAGTGAGTTGGCTAGGCGCTGTGGCTCATGCCTATAATTCCAGCACTTTGGGAGGCTGAGGCAGGAGGATCACTTGAGGCCAGGAGTTTGAGACCAGACCTGGCCACATAGCAGATCTCAATTCTACAAGAAAAATTAAAAAAAAAAAAAA